TCTATCTATCTATCTATCTATCTATCTATCTATCTATCTATCTATCTATCTATCTATCTATCTATCTATCTATCTATCTATCTATCTATCTATCTATCTATCTATCTATCTATCTATCTATCTATCTATCTATCTATCTATCTATCTATCTATCTATCTATCTATCTATCTATCTATCTATCTATCTATCTATCTATCTATCTATCTATCTATCTATCTATCTATCTATCTATCTATCTATCTATCTATCTTTGTTATTTTTAGATAGTATGAGAGAGAGAGAGAGTGAGAAAGAGAGAGATATTAAGTGCCCTCAGTCCCTCTCCAACCAGTATACTGGGGAGAATACAATGGTTTGTGAGATATCAGAAAATGATCCATGTTTACTTCATCTGTTTTTTTTAAATGACAACGTATTGTTTTTCCCTCCCTCCATTTATGCCATTTATGCCATCAATAAGCCAGTTAAACCACAAATACAGAATTAGTTTGGATGTCCACTTTTTGTGCCATAGTTGGTTTGGTGAGTGGTTTAGTGAGATTTTTTTTTTTCCAAATGAAATTTATGTAACTTGGCTCAGTAAATTTTGTGAAACACTGGTCCAGGTTGCGCAGTACTTGTGCGCACTGAACTAGTATTTGTTTACACAATTTTCATGGTTCCAAGAATTCATGCATAACTGCAGCGATCAATACAGCTGGATCTCTGAACTCAAACAATCCAAACGTTGTATCACATTCTATTTTCTGGTCGATTTAAGAAGAAAATAAAACAAAACATAGTGCGAAGCTTTGATTGGCATACCAGAGAACAGCATTAGGCTTGTAAATGTAAGTGTAATTTACAGTGGTGTACAATTGCAATACAACGCAATGTAGGATGTTCCTTTCAAAATGGTTCTACACCACACAAACAACAACCCCAAAATTTTGGATTACACCTCTCTGCCTGCATGTGTGAATCTACCTGTTTCTTTTAATAGAGCTTTGTGAATCTCATGATTCTCAGCCTCAAGATTGTGCCAATGTACTTTCTTGATAAAGTGTGTTGTATAAACATAACTTTTAGCTGACTAAAGTTATTGATGCTTGGAATGGGCCTGGTTTCATGAAAACGCATACACTGATAGATCTTTGCACTGTGACACGTATTGATGTCCTCAACAGATTTATTTATTCGTTCTTGTTTACCCAGCAAAGTCCATATTCAAGACCGAATAAATAATGAATGAAAAAGCCTTTTTTAGCCATACTCTCTGTTCCAACAGAACATTTCTTCATCAAACAAGATGAGAATCCTACTACTGGGATGACCAGGCTGCAATGATGCAGAGTGGGCAATATTTAACAAAATATGGAGGTATATACTGATAGTTAGAATAATGTAAAAGTGCATTTAATTTGATTAAGCGCTGCAGGGAGATGCACTCAGAGAAGTAGTTCCTCCTCAAAACCTGGCCCAGTTGGTCAATGCAGAATCCTCCATTGCAGCGCCTCCAACGCTTCAGATGTTGTCCCAATCAGTCAGGGCAGAATCCATTTAGCAACATCCAGTCTGCTCATCGTCACCTATTCCCGTGTCCAACCCCGCAAAAACATGTGTGGCAGGTTAATGGAACACTCTGATCCCAAGTTTTGAGTGTGAGCGCGGATGGTTGTTTGGGAAGTACCCCGCCCACTGCCCGAAGACAGCTGGCATAGGCCCCAGCACGCCCCGCGACCCTTGAGGGTAAGCCGATTAGAAAATGGATGGATGGAAATAACAAAAGGGTAAACAAGGCATACGGAATCATAAAGACGAAATGAATAGGAGTCCAAAGGACCGCACACAAGGTAATGAACCGAAAATAGGAATGGACTCTCAAACGGCAACTGACAGGATCACCAAAAGAAGCAATGACTGAAAGGAAGTAGTGAACTAACTGACGAGACAACAAGGAATGTCTGGACTAGACACAAAGGAGCGAGCTGATTGGTTAACACAAAGGACCAGGATGACGAGAACAAAGTGGAAACAAAGAAGACAAAAGCATACGGGAAGACAAGGCAAATCATGGAACAAAAACAAACGTAATCTAAACAAAACAGAATCATTACAAATGATAGGAAATGTCTGAATTGTTTCACACCAATCATGGTTGCTTGTGAAATAACTTCATATATACAGCATCTTTAAAAATACATATTTACAAAGTGCTTTGTCCAACTGAAATGGGTGGAAATAGCAAATAGTGATAATGGACACTAAAACTGTCTAATTATATACCGTATATATAGTTTCTATTCAAGGGCCAAGTGAAAGCAGACTGTTTGAAGCTCTGTTGCGTGAATACAATAGACTGGAGAGACCAGTCTACAATGAGACTCAGACTCTCAACGTTGAAGTCGGCATCGTCCTGAGGCAGATCATGGATGTGGTGTGTACGTGCGATATTTTGAAGTTGGCACAAGTAGAGATGTCCACATGAATTTTGGTGCCATTTGATCGCGTTTTATGGATGTTTTATATATATATATGTATATATATGTATGTATGTAAGGTAATTGGATTTTGAAGAGATATCAAATGCCAGCCCAGCATGTTTAACTATTAATCTTCAACTCATAGGTGCCACAAACGATCATTTTTTTTTCTTCTTTTCACAGGATGAGAAGAGCCAGGTGTTGACAACCAACATTTGGCTGCAAATGGTAAGCTTTCCTTGCAATAAAAGCATTAGTTTGTTGATAGAAGTAATTTTGGGCAACACAAGCTCACAAATGGCCTATGAAAAATTTCCAATGTCAAATATATGTTTTGTTTTATTTCAAATCAGAAATGTAAAACATTTGAAAAGGTTTATTGCCAAGTATGTTTTAAGTGCCCTTTGTCCACTTTAAATGATGCACCCTGCATTTGGAATACACCACTTTGTAAATCCTGGACCTTTTCTGAAGACTAGTTTACTGTTTTCCCCTCATTCCACCCACAAGAGACAGCAGTGAAACCGTATTTTTTACATCAAGACTGACAAAAATCATCAATATTGTATTAGTTTATTGTGTGACTTCACATTTCCAGCCAAGTCATGTTTGTCTCGAGTGGGAGGGGACTGACACGAAGTCAGTCTTCAGTATATGAATCCTGCAAGCCAGCAGCTTGTAGCAATATGTTTTGAGAAGCTATGGCTCTGAATTTCTCGTACCGATCTTCTGGACTGCATAATTAAAAAATTCCCCACATCTGTGGGTTAACTTAGTTCTTACTGTATATAATCTGCTTTCTCGAATGGCACCCCATGTGTATATGAATTGTGAAAAAATGCTGTATATCCTAATTCTTTGCTACACAGTCCTGGCATGACTATAAATTACAATGGGATGCAGCTCAGTATGAGGGCCTGGACACTCTACGATTTCCTGATAATCTCCTTTGGAAGCCTGATATTCTACTTTATAACAGGTACAACTGGATGCGGATGTGAATGCAGCATGACACATTTTGGCGTAAAGGAGCACTTTAACAATTTTATATTATGTGTAATCGTATGACAGTATGCAAGACATTTAAAATGTCCTATACTGCATGTAGGGGCTACACATGCAACATGTGTTAATCAAGAAACCACCCAATTTTGCTGACAATCTAGATTCAGGTTTTCATTTTTAGTCACGGTGGCAGCAATGGAGCAATCCATCCTCCACAATCATAATGGCACCACTCATGCAAAAGTCAAGTTACTTTCAAATAGCAGTCAATGTACCGTACCGCACCTGTCATTAGTGACAACAATTGTAGCCAAGTTGCACAAAGTACACACATGGAAACAAAGATCTTTCAAGGAGTGCATTTGCAACCACACAATTTTTTGACATTTATTTATTTTTTTTTAACTGCATTCAGAACAGAACTGAAAAAACAAGGCCAAAACAACCAACATACCAGAAAAATTGAATTAGCTAATTATGCCAACTGAAAAGAAATACACTATTTTGACACCTGTTTTCGAAAGTACGACCCCAAAGCACACAAGCAAGACAGCGATCAAACAAGACTTATATTAAGTCAAGGAAAAAGTATTTGTACTGTGTTACTACCCTCCACTGTAAAACACCTGATTTTTTTTTTCTAAATTTCTGCCAAGGTGTCCTCACAATTCCATTTAATAACAGGGTGCTGACATTTTACATAGTCATCATTCAAATAATCAGTACGGTGCATGCTCACAACCGGTGCTTTTGAATGATAAAAGTGTTTTTACAGGTCCAGTCAAAAATGGCTTTGAAAGGTGTGTCAAAATGTCGAACAAGCAGCACTTCTGTTATTCTATGTCATCCACAGTGCCGACCAAAAATTTGATCCCACCTTCAATTCCAAAATTGTGGTTAGCTCCTCTGGCAAATGCTTGCATATCCCTCCAGGTAAGAAAAATTGTAGTCCACCCTCGCGCTTGCACAAAAGCATTATTGAACGCATTCATTTTGCCTTATTAGGCCTTCAGAAACTCAAGTGTCCCGTTATGTTTGTCAATTTTGAAGTACAAGTCCATTAGTGCGACAGAAGCTGTAGTCGTTGATTACTCCCTTCACTGTTAAACGCTTCACCCCCTTTTCACCCTTCAAGAAAAAGATCCGTCCTATCCTCTTGCCTCATCATTTGAATTAATTCCAGCACAAATAGCTCTTTCAATGTGTTTCTTCTGCATTGATTGCCTTTGTCTGAAGCAAATTGCCTCTCAACCATCACTTTCTCAATGCTATGCATTTCATCAGATTGTCATTTAGTCACATGTTGCACTTTTTTTTGGTTTGTTTTTTTTTTTGATTGAGAAATCTTTGATTTTGTCTGTCATTACGAAGTCCTTCACTCGCCCATTTGTCTTCTTTCATCCATTCAGTGCCCCATCGACCTCATGATTAACAATGCAATGGAAAGACCTTGTGTTCAGCTACATTCTCACGTTTTTTTTTTGTATATGGATTTGAGTTTGGATGGCACTTGCCTCCTGAATGATTACTGTCTGCATTGACCATATTATTATTTCCTCTCAATACATGAACTCCTGATGTTGATTTCCTGCTGCTTTTTTTGAGGTTGTCTCATTACTTAAAGCGTGTCACTGTTTCCTTTAGAGTAGATGAATATGATATCACCCTACTATGTGTCTTCTTAATTCCTTATTCGAATTTATTTCCCTGTCAGGGATATTTAAGAGCACCTGCCGAATTGATACCCGCTGGTTCCCCTTTGACATCCAGAAATGTGACCTCAAGTTTGGCTCCTGGACTTATGGGGGCTTGTCTTTAGACTTATCACTGATCGAGGCAGACATCAGTGAATATGTTCCTAATGGAGAGTGGGACCTTGTTGGTAAGAATAATTTGACATTGTGCATCACAACCATGGATTCTCATACATAAAGTTGGGGAAAGGGTAGAGCGGAAGGCACTGAAGTCAGATTTGAAGATAACTTTCAGGAGCTCTTATGCCTACGTCATGTTCTCGTGTGAATCATCTGAATATTGAAACTCAAAGCAGCAAAGTTAGAGCAATTACCGATTGAATTGTAATTGAAATGTAGCAGTCGACAGTGAGCGGCAACCATGGCGGATAAACATAAAACAACAACACACAGAAACACCAAACTAAGGTACTATAGATAGACAGAGTCACTAGTAGGTCGTTGCTAAGAACTAAAGAACAACCAACTCTTACACAAGTAACAACTACACAAGTTAAGAGCAAGATAACAAGAACAACAAATGATACTAAATTTAAACGACACATGTTTAGAAAGACGGAATTACAAAAATCACCACAGTCGGAATCTAAACTATATTAGTTTAGAAAGAACACTAAAGCAAGGTGAACAGCAAAATACCGAGAAAAAGCAAGTCGTGTTTTAAAAAAAACAAAATTCAGACTTCAATATTATCCCTGCTTAAAATATCTTGATCATGATACTGAAGTGATACCATGGCAAAAACTTGAAACATCAGTAAAAAGCAGTGGAATAATAGCTCCTAGCCCAACAACTTCGAGTTATTTTAATTTGTATTCATTTAAAAAAAATATACGATAAAGATTCTAATTACAATACTTTTGATGTGATACAAAAATACATTCTGAACATTTGGACTGATATTTCACATTTTTTTTCAATGCCTAGTTTTCACTTGAACCCATTGTAATATCGTTATCCAGAGATGGGCACTTTACCCTATTTTGCCGGTCCGTTCTCTGTCCGTGACCTGGGTACCCTTCTGTCGTTGTCCCTCCGCCCTTATATAATCATTGTCCGTCCTCATCCTTTTAAAGCACTTTTGTCGCAGTTCCCCTCCCAATAAAAAAAAATAAAAATAAAGGGTCTGTGCATGAGCCATGAGTTGGGGGCAATTAATGGCCTACAGACAAAAGACACTTTGCTCCATACATTCTGATAACGCTGTTGATCCCATCTTGAAAGGCGCTTTTTGTGGCAACCTAAGTATATCATATATGAACATTTACATAACATATACAAAGACACCTTCTTGAGTACGTCAACGCCGCAGCTATATTGGATGTGGCATAGTGAAACAAATTGTGAAGATGCCTCCTCCTTGGAGATGTGTCATCAAGAAAAAAAAACTCACTTGTATTGGATGTGGCATAGTGAAACAAATTGTGAAGATTCCTCCTCTTTGGAGATGTGTCATCAAGAAAAAAACAAACTCAATTAATACGAAATTATTGCTTTTGCTCACCAAAATTCATGTTGACATCTTGACATATTCTGACATCAACCTCTGAAAATAGAATGATCTCCCAAGTATTTGGCGGTGTTTTCCTCTTCATAGATGCGGGCACCAAGTGACATACAACACAGCCAGCTTTCTTAACTGGGTGGATTGATCATTAGTGAAATGGGTGTCTGTAGGTACTTTGTTATGTTGTCTTACTGTACACTAGGTGGCAGTGTTGATATAAAAATATTGTTGGGATGAAAAAGGTGTGCTGTTAAGAAAACACAGCATTTGGCAACACTCTGGCCTTGTTATTTTGCCTCCCGGCACCCAATACTTAAAGGGACAATAAAAGGGACAGACAAAACCCACTTCCGTCCTTGCTTAGTCTGTCCTTTTTAAAACACTTCTCATCCTCCGTCCCAAAAAATGGTCGTCCTTCTGGGATGGACGGACGGACCGTTGCATCCTCGGGATGGAATGCCCATCTCTATTGTTATCATGTCGTTATCGAGGTATCTGTCATGGATATCGAGATATAAAATTTTGTCCATGTCACCCAGAACTAGAGGGATGGATGGATACTGTAAAACAATCTTTTTTTTTTGCATGAACTGTTTCCAGATTTTCCATGAGCACAACTCAATTATGTTTCATTTTGCCTCACAGTGGTTTCAGGAAAGAAGAATAACCGCATTTATGAGTGCTGTACGGAACCCTATCCTGATGTCACGTACACCATAGTGATGCGCAGACGGACTCTCTTCTATGTACTCAATCTGCTCATCCCCTGTATCCTGATCTCCATTTTGGCCCTTTTTGTCTTCCTGCTGCCTGCTGACTCAGGGGAGAAGATATCGTTGGGTAGAGTTATTCGCTTTAATTTTGTTAAAATTTTATGTACCCGACAATTGTGATTGCTCTGGAATTTAAATTTGTATTGATAGCCTTTTCTTCCCTTCATTCAGATGGGAACCAAATAACATCCTAATAAAAACGGGTCTATTTATCATCAGGGTTCAAATTTACCTCCAAATTAAGTGATTGCTTGTAATGCAAGGCCGTTCGTTCATGTAAGGTTCATGCTAGCTAGAGTTTCACTTAATAAGTTTGACTAGTTGTGAAATAAGCAAGTGATGATGCTGACAAAGTAATATTCGTCTCCCGCAACCAAATTTCTCACAATAACACACACACACACACACACACACACACGCACGCGCACACGCACACGCACACACACACATCACTGGCGTCCCGGGCGAAACCTCTTATGGCAAAATTTATTTTTAAAAACTCGATAATGTTAGTTAGTCCACACAAGTGCGCTATTTTTTCAAATTACTGACAAATCTCAAGTGTTAAAAAGCGTCTGCTCTGTGTAACGATGCAATGTTTACCATTCAACAAACATGAGATTTTTGGGGTCTCACGAAACTAATCTTTCTTTCAATTACACTAACAGTTACTTCATCAAAACAATATGTATTGTTTGTATGTAAGACACACACACACACACACACACACACACATCAAACAACATGTATTGTTTGTATGTAAGGTGAAAAGGCTTTGCAGGTTTGGTTTTGAAACACTAACTGAGATTTGGTATTTTCAGGAATCACAGTCCTACTCTCCCTAATCGTCTTCATGCTGCTACTTGCAGAAATTATGCCGGCCACTTCAGACTCTGCCCCTCTAATAGGTAAGCGAGGAATTTTAGAATCTGTCTGTAAATGTTTCAATTAAATTAAGAAGCCCCCCAAGATGCTGGCCAGGTATTTGCATCGCTCTTTCATATCTGCACTTGAACTACAATTTGCTTGAGCCCTGAATCAGAGGAGACAGGCTCCAGTTTACACCACACTGATCAGGAGAAGTGGTATACTATATCCGATGGATGAATTAATTGACCAATAATATTTTCCACTATCCTTTCACTTTCTAGTTCAGTACTTTGTCATCACCATGGGCATTGTTGCGCTCTCTGTGATTCTCACGGTTGTGGTCCTACAAGTTCACCATCGTGACCCTAACGCAGTAAGGATGCCAAAGTGGGTGAGTGTCCATTTCGTTGTATGAGAGAAAATCATCCTCACCATTAATGTTTGTTCAGCTTAATAACCTTTATGTTGTACTGGTTTATTTCTTGCTGAATCAAAATCCAATCCTAAAACTTGTATTGTATTGGCAGACACGTGCAGGTAGTTCCTGTAAACTTTTGGCAAGCCAACACACTACATCTGTTGGGAACTTTGTAGCTGCTCTCGCCAGGGTGAAATGCAACATACAGTATAGAGATGAGTGAGAAGATACACTGTGGGACTCTGTAATGGTGTGATGTGAGAACAAGTGGCATGAAATGTTGATCGACATACAATCAAGTCTCATTATTGATACGCAACATGGTGGCAGTGGTTTGCAAATATGTTTGAACATATACGAACACACTTAATTCATTTAGCACAATTTAAAACAGCACAAGGAGGAAATTAAGCTAGAAGGGCTTGTCCAAGATTCAACTCCCATTCACAAAAGGATCTCAAATATAAGTTTCTGGATGAACAGTGCAAGTGAAAAGACAAAATAAAATAAATATCAACAAAAACAGGCATTACAACACGCACATAAATGTAGACTTGAGATTTAAATTTACATTCATTACAATGAAAATGGAGGGGAAGAAATACGATAAATTTACTCAGAATTTAGGCACCTCAGTGGTTGACTGGTTAGCACGTCGGCCTCACAGTGCAGAGCTGCAGGGTTTGATTTCAGCTCCGACCTTCCTGTGTGGAGTTTGCATGTTCTCCCCGCACCTGCGTGGGTTTTCTCCGGGTACTCCGGTTTCCTCCCACATTCCAAAAACATGTGGGGCAGGTTAATCAAACACCCATAATTGTCCCTCGGTGTGAGAGTGAGCGCGGATGGTTGTTCGTCGATGTGTGCCTTGCGACTGGCTGGCAACTGGTTCAGGGTGTCCCCTGCCTAATGCTTGAAGACAGCTGGGATAGTCTCCAGCACGCCCCGCAACCCTTGTGAGGATAGGTTACCGAAAGAGCTGCTTAGTGATTTGGTGACATCCCTCATGGGATAACTCAGCTATGCATTTCATATGAACAATATTAATGAGTCATATCTCTTTTTGTTGCTTGATTCCAAAGATCCGTGTGGGCCTCCTTGAATGGTGTGCCTGGTTTCTGCGCATGAAGCGTCCAGGTGAGGACAAAACACAGAGCAGTCCGTCCAGCGTGGATGTCAAAGCCAAAATGGAGAGTGGTCACTCGGCCTCACCAGAGTCTGGTGAGGGAGAGCTTCTCCTCAACAAATATCCGAGCCCCACAGTCAGCAGCAGTGAATCAGAGCTCGCCAACATCCTTGATGAAGTGCGCTATATTGCTAAACGTTTCCGTGACCAGCAACAGGTGGAGACCATGCGCAGTGATTGGAAATTTGCTGCTGCTGTGATCGATCGTCTTTGTTTCGTGATTTTCTTGACATTCATTGTCCTCTGCACCTTCGGGTTTCTTATGTCAACACCAAACTTTACTGAGGATGTTTCCAATGTGCTCTCTTGAGAATGTGGTACAAAAATAAATACCACAGTGAAAGCAAAAATTCACATCATTTATCTATCTTTTTTTAAGCACGTGGTCATCTAGAAACAGTCAGTCTGGTGGATCACTATATATTGTATGTTAGTTATCCATATACTGCCAGGGTATGCCTAGTATTTGAATGTACAGTGCCTTGCAAAAGGTGTCAGTCCCTTGACTTTTTACCATTATTGTGACATTACAACCATTAATTCAAACAAGTTCTTTATTGGAACTTTATTTGATGAATCTGCACAAATGAACGTGTGCTGGTTATTTTATCTTAATGCTTGCTATAATCCCATCAATTAGCAGAAGACTGTATATCCTCAGTTAGATTATTTAATCACGCCTAGAAGCTCGACGATATGAGGCCGCTCTACCGCACAGTTGTCGGTTCAAAATGATACCTGTTCTTATTTTGTTTTTGGCCACACCCATGCAGGAGAGCAGCAAAACTTCACAAATGAATGCATATGCCCCAAATCTGATTTAAACTATTTGAAGAGTGTATACAACTCTAAGTATGCGATGCGTCTGCAGTATGAACGCTCATTCGTTCACATTCGACCTCGACATGATTGAAAGCCCAAATTTTCAACTCTCGTTGGAGTGGTTTATAGCTAAGTGTGAAGCGGTTGGGATGAGAACCAGCCTCTGCAATTCTAAAACCATAATACTCAATCGGAAAAGGGTGAAGTGCTCATCGATAAGATCCTGCCCTACTTGGTGAAGTTTAAGTATCTTGCAGGCAGGTTAGCACAGTGTATGCAGTGATGCGGACTTTGCATTGGTCTTTTGTGGTGAAGGAAGGAGCGCAACTGAAAGTGGAAACTCTACCTGGGGCTGACATTCCCATAACACAGATGACGCACCGCGTGCCGGGCCCCTATGGGAATGGTCTTTGTAAGTGGCAGGTGGGCTTTCACTTGTACAGCGCTTTTCTACCTTAGGTATTCAATGTCGTGGGATTTTGGCCTATTTTGTACTTTCTGAAAGTCTTGCAAAGTTTTCTTTTGGGAAATCAGAGTATCAGTGACAGGCCATTTTCGGAAGGTGTGGCTGAATCCCATAGGCTCAAAGGCGCATTACGGTTTGGCTTGCAGTCTGCCACAGATGTCAGTACATTCCTTCCTCCTGGACTGCGATATTGTGATGGGTTCCTCATGTTTCTGATGTGGGTCTGAGGATGGCTCGACACTCACAATCTGATAGATAGGACAGTTGCCTGAAAATTCCAAGCTGTGTCTGTCATTTGTCTCACTGCAGCATTTTATAATATGGATGGTGCTGGTCAGGGGGACAGAGGGTTGCATGTTCTAGGCCAGGCCATTGAATAAAAGATGGAAATGAGGACTATTTCTGGGAAGAGCCCAGTGTGACCGCCAATCACTGCCGAACAAAATACAGAGCAGTGAACTTAAGGAGTGCACGTGCAACCACAATTTTTGTTTGGTTTGTTTTTCAACTGAATTGCGCAGGTACGTATTCTCATATTTCCTTGAAAAAACGTCAGAGGTGGCAGAGGACTTTAGTGGAAGAAAATGTTACTCAGTGTCGTCCACAGTGCAGCAGAAAGTTTTGGTACGACCTTCGATGACAAATATTTCTTTCCACTTCAACTTCTTTTCTTTCTACTTATTCTCTGCCCTCTTCATACAAAAGCACTGTGCTCTGTCACTAAATTCCTTCTGTATTGATTGCCTTTGTTGGAAGGAAATTGCGTCTCAACTGTCTTCCACGTGAACGTTCACTGAATACTGTTATCGCATCACAACATCTATAATAATCATTTAGTCATAGGTTATTTGTCCTCCTTCTATTTCGACTTATTCAGCAACCTCATGATGAACAATGCATGGCAAGACCACTTTCTCACATTTTTTTAATATAGATTGGAGTTTGGACGGTGCTCAATAATTACTGTGTAACCATTTTCACTATATTATTATTATTATCATTCGCTCTTAGTACTTAACTCCAAAAGTTGTCAGATAACCTCTTGCTTTTAAGTCGCTCATTTCAAATGTCCCACTGCTATCTTTATCCAAGAAAATAAACATTGTTTTTTTTTCTCACAACAATGTGTCTCCTTTGTTTTTTCCTATTCCCGACATTTATTTCCTTGTCAGTGATGTTAAGCAGCACCTGCGATATCGATCTCCGCTGGTTCCCCTTCAACAGCCAAAAATGTGACCTCATGCTTTGCTCCTGGACTTAAAGGGGCCGGTCTTTGATTTAACCGTGAGAAAGGCAGACATCAGTGAATATCTTCCTCATGGAGAGTGAGACCTTGTTGGTGAGAATAATATGATATTGTGCATCACAAAAACAGATTCTAACACATAATAGATTTACTGGTGAGGGAGAGGGTGGAGGAGAAGTCACTGAACTCAGATTTGAAGATACTTTCAGAAGATGTGGTGCTTACATCTAACTCAAGAAACACTTTCTGCAGTTTGGAAACATGCCCTCAACTTTGTCTAGTGTCATGGATTATTTTTTAGATCAAATATCACAATTTCCTGTGTGATTTTAGTGCCGATCAACGATGAACAATGTTGTGCAAGTGACTTCCAAAATGTAAGATGTTACATATGACTAATTACTTGCACGAGGCCAGGTGATCGACTGGTTAGCACGTCAGCCTCACAATGCAGAGGTGCAGGGTTCGATTCTGGCTCCGGGCTTCCTGTGTGGAGTTTGCATGTTCTCCCCGTGCCTGTGTGGGTTTTCTCCAGGTACTCCGGTTTCCTTCCACATTCCAAAAACGTGTGGCGGGTTAATGGAACTTTCGAAATGGTCATTGGGTGTGATTGTGAGTGCGAATGGTTGTTCGTCTATGTGTGCCCTGCGATTAGCTTGCAACCAGTTCAGTGTGTACTCCATCTACTGACCAAAGACAGCTGGGATAAAAAAAATTGCAATACAGTGATCCCTCGCTACTTCGCGGTTCGTTTATCGCGGGTTCAGTGCATCGCGGATTTTTTTCAAAAATATAAAAAATATATATATTTTTTATTTATTCAGTTTTTTAAATATACATGGAATACAGTACTGTATATGTTGCTCGATGTGACTCGCTGTTGTTTTGCAGCTTCTCGCGGACAAAAAAAAAAAAACTTTTTTTTTTTTACCTGTTTATGTTAATTGGTCGCTACGTCGCGGATTTTTTCGTTTATCACGGGTGGTTTTGGTCTCCATTAACCGTGATAAACGAGGGATTACTGTACAATAAATACATTATTTGTCTGGTCTTTTCTGTCTCGTGGATGCTTAATACATGTTTTGGAATGCGGAAGGAAGCCCTAGCATCCAGAATTCAATTCCAACCTTAAGAACTCCGAGGCAGACATGCGAGCCACTTGTGCACTATGTTGAAGCGATAGCTTGGATGGATGGATGTACGGGTGGGTGGGTGCTATGATAGATAGATAGATGTTGAGAGGAAAGAAATTTCATTTGTGCTGTATGTTACAGATACAGCACATTTGACAATAAAGTTGTATTCAATTCAATTCAATAGATAGATAGATAGATAGATAGATAGATAGAATGTCATTCCACGAGGTAAATTCGTTTTTCTATCTTCATGAAGTTTTTCAAACCTTTCCACGTAACCAGTGTTTGTGTGAAAGGTAAAAAAAGAGACATGCACTAATTCGTAATAGTTGATTTGATGACTATGATACGTGACATCAACCGTGAAAAAAAACATGATATCAGATGATGGTGGTAATATGGTGTTTAAATCGTAAAGATGTGGGGTATTTGTGACGGGAATTAGTGAAATATTTACTTCCAAGGTGCGAGCGTCAGGTTAGCTCCCCCACAAGTAAGCAGTAGTCATGATGATTTTGACAGTTCACACATATCTTTGATAATGTTACCGGAATTTAAAATGATTAGGCCCGCCAGTGAATATGATACAAAACAGTCACCATCCGTTCCTTTTGAACCATGGTTCGAAACTGACCGCTTTTAGACCAAATGTATCTGTGATCTTTGCTTGCTTGCTGACCAACAAAAAATTACCAGGAATGAGCAACAGCGATCTACTGAGATAGATTGTGACCAATTATCTTTACTGTGGGAATGGATGTTTGGCCAACAACCGCGAGTTTGAAAGTTGGTGAAGACTCAACTGCTAGTGTCTCTTTCCCCACATAAAAAAAACCCAACATAATCCTACAAATTAATCAAATTTCAGTTTCAATTTAAATTAATGTACCTGTAATTTTATTCTGTGTATTTGTCTTCTAACTAGAGTTACACTTTTTGTAGCCTGAGTATGTAATGCTCATATAACATATGTATAAATAAATAAATAAATAATAACAAATAAATAATAATAAATAAAATGAATAACATGTATTCTGTTACTCCCCAAGCCTGCCAAATCCTGGATGTCGTGTAAGTAATCCTTATCCTGCTGTGCCATAGCAAACCTTTACATGTACAGTATACCCTTTTTACTTTATCAGCCTTTGCCTTTTGTATTACAATGGTAAAATAAAAAAAAAAAGTTGTTCTCTACTACACAGATGTTTTTTTATTGAAGCAAAAAAATATGGTGTGATTGTCATAGAAGAAACAAATTGCCGCAAAGAAGAGGAAATGTGCAGAATAAAGAGTTATTTTGAGAACTTTGATTCATCAGTGCCCTATTCACAAACTGCATCCGTGCATTTCAGCACAAGACTCCACGCTTTGCTTTCTTGCCACAGGTACATATAATAAATCCAAGTAAATATTATTGTAAAATACAAAATTATTTGTAATTCGTGTAATTTTGAGAACCACACTTACACTGTTTGTGGTGCGTCTACTCTTGCTTTTACTGACAACCGCTATAGGCAAGGTTTATATCAAGTCTTGAGCTGTTCCACGTCTAAAGTAGAAACTATTACAGTGGTTCTGTCTATTGGATGCAATAAATAAGATGTCGTTTGGGGGATTAGTCCCTTCCTTTGAATTTGAGGCGGTATTATTTTCACTCAAAAACCCAGCCACTAGGGAGCAGTGCCCTCCCCTGGGGGTACACTGTTCCCCAGTGCCGGTCCCAAGCCCGGAAAAATGGGGAGGGTTGCGTCAGGAATGGCATCCGGCGTAAAACTTTTGCCAAAACGAACATGCGAGTTGATAAAACGATTTCCATACTGGATCGGTCGGGGCCCAGGATAAAAACGACTGCCAACAGTGCTGTTCACCTACAGGGTACTGCTGGAAATTGGACTACTGTTGGTCAAAGAAGAAGACAAAGAAGAGGAGGACGATTGGTACAGAGAAAGAGGGAAAGGAGGAAGGTTAGAAGTATTGGTCTGAGGTTAGGAACTCTGAATGTAGGTACAATGACAGGGAAAGGCAGAGAACTAGCTGACATGATGGAGAGGAGGAGAGTAGATATTCTGTGTGTTCAGGAGACAAGGTGGAAGGGCAGCAAGGCTAGAAACATTGGAGGAGGCTACAAGCTGTTCTACCATGGTGTAGATGGGAAGAGGAATGGAGTAGGGGTGATTATAAAGGAAAAATATGCTAGACATGTAGTAGAAGTAAAACGAGAGTCAGACAGGTTGATGTGCGTGAAGGTAGAGATAGAAGGTGTGATGATGAATGTAGTCAGTGGGTATGCCCCACAGGTGGGCTGTGAGTTAGAAGAAAAGGAAAAGTTCTGGAATGAGATGGATAGAGTGACAGAGAGCATTCCCAGGGG